CTCCCATGCTGGTTGAGGAATGCTGGGAATTGGTCCACAGGTCCATCGTTCCCCACCCCTGTCTTAAGACAAAGCCCGAGGGACACAGAAGGGGAGAAGTTAATCTTCTGGGCACTTGACTCTGGGAAGGTGGTGGAGGAGTTCTCCTCCGGCTGCAAGGACGCTGGGGGCCCTTCAGACTTTGGGACCAGCCTAAGGGGGAGAAGGTCCTAGGTTGCTCAGCTCTGACCCTCGGCTGTTGGGAAGCTCCTGCCCTCCAGGGCCCTTGGTGGGAGGGCGTTGGTGCCCCCTCCATCTCTGAGGAGCTTCCAGGAGACACGGTGGCAGGGGCACCAGGCCCTCCTCCCACTGCCAGTCTCCCTGGGCCTCCCTTCTGGGCACTCCCCACTCTGCAGGGCAGCCCAGAGCCCCCGGTGGGCCAGGGCCGGGTGGGCTAACTGGCTGTGGCGTGTCTGATTTTGCAGAGAAGCTGGACGAGATCTTGGCAGCGGCTGAGCCCTCGCTGAGAGCAGACCTGGTGGAGGCAGATTCCCGGGCAGCCACCGTGAAGCAGAGGCCCACCAGCCGGCGCATCACCCCTGCAGAGATCAGTGTGAGAGGCTGGGAGAGGGCTGGGCCAGGGGCTGCACCCGGGGCGGAGGGGAGGGAGGTCTGCCCAGGCCAGCTGGGCCCCAAACTCTCTCCCTCTGCAGCCACGTTGTTGCCGGCCAAATGACGGCCATCGCACCTGCTTTGTCATCCCACCCAGACGGGGCTCTGGCCCTCTCGCCTGTGGCCAGGAGGGGCACCTCTGTCCTGACCAGGAGGCCACTTGGACGCTGCCAGGGTGGGAGCGCCCGAGGCTGGCTGTCCTGAGCCCCTTGTGTGCTGCCCCCTTGCCATGGCGGCCAGGACAAGGAGGCCCACCCCCACCCAGGCCCCCTGGCTGAACCCCAGTGGATGCCAGCAAGGCCTGGCCAGGCCGGAATACGGGCAGTCCTCGACTTACGACCACAGCCGAGCCCAAAATATCTGTTCCTAAGTGAGACAGTTGAGGGGGTTGCGCAACCTTTTCCCGACCTTTCCTGCCACTCTTGTTAAGTGAACCCCTGCCGTTGTTAAGCTAGTCACAGGGTTGTTAAGTGAATCTTGCTTCCCCATGGACTTGGCCTCTTCAAAGGTTGCAAAAGGGGAGGAGGCGAATCGGGGACCCTGCAACCGTCATAAGTACATGCCAGTTGCCAAGCCCCTGAGTTTTGATCAGGTGACCACAGCGAGGCTGCAACGGCCCNTCTACGACACCGTCCGCTCCAGCTTCAAGCCGGGCCTGGAGGCCAAGCTGCACGGGCTGCCGCCAGTCATCAGCGCGGCCGAGATGTACGACCAGGCCAGGGCCAGCATCCCTTACCCCGAGCGGCAGAAGCGGGCGCGCTCCATGATCATCCTGCAAGACTCCTCCCACATCCCCGTGGAGCCCACCGACATCCCCCGGCCAGGCCCCTCGGCCACCCCGCCGGAGAAGCTGAAGCGGAAGGGGCGCGGGGCGGACAACCCCTACGCCAACATGGGCCAGTTCAATGTCAGCCTCTTCGCCCCCACCAAGCCCCAGCGCAAGAAGAGCCCCCTGGTCAAGCAGCTGCAAGTGGAGGACGCGCAGGAGCGGGCGGCACTCTCCGTGGCTGGGGGCTTCCCCCGGGAGCCCTCCCCCACCCGGCGGGGCCACCGCCTGAGCGGGATGGACTTCACCTCCCAGCAAGTGGAGACCGCCAGCCTGCCCTTTGCCACGGCGGTCGCGGGGGCCATGAAAGAGCGAGACCGGCGCCTTGATGAGAAGCGGAAATCCACTGTCTTCCTTTCCGTGGGGGCCATAGAGGGGAGCCCCCCCACCATCGACATGCCATCGCTGCAGCAATCCCGGTCCATCGACGAGCGTCTGCTGGGCAGCCGGGACGTCCTGCTGCCTTCCCCCGTCTCCGCTCTAAAGCCATTCCTCAGCAGCCCCTCGTCGACCTTCATCCACCCTCTGACGGGGAAGCCCCTCGACCCCAACTCCCCCCTGGCGCTGGCGCTGGCCGCGAGAGAGAGAGCCCTCTCCACCCAGGTCTCCTCCCGAGTGGCCACCCCCATCCACAGCCCCGACTCCGACCGGGCGGCCCCCTTGTTTGTGGACATCCAAACCAAAGAGCAAGAGAGGGGGGAGCTGGAAGGCCGGGGGTCCCCCGCCTATTCTCCAGGGTCCAAGGCGCCTACACCCAGCTCTCTGACCCCTACCCAGAGCCCCTGGGGAATGCCCGGAAGTGCGAGGAAGGAGGGCGAGGCACGGACCGAGACTCCGGTGAAGGAGGTGGAGGAGAAGAAGGTGGAGGAGAGGAAAGCCATGATCCTCAGCATCATGGACACCTCGCAGCAGAAGACGGCCGGCCTCATCATGGTGCACGCCACGAGCAACGGGCAGGACCTGGGCTTCGACATGAAGGAGGAGAAAACCCCTGTCCCAGAGCGGGGGCCGGAGCCGGGGGAGGTGTCCATGATGGAGGCCCAGCCCAGTCCCGTGGGGAAGGCGCCCGTCAGCCCAGCCTTGGACAAGACGTTCGGACAAGGGAGCTCGGAGGAGGACGTGGAGACGTACACGGTCACTCTGCCCCCCGCGCAGCTCTCCTCCAGTGACGAGGAGACCAGGGAGGAGCTGGCGAAGATTGGCCTGGTGCCGCCACCCGACGAGTTTGCAAACGGGGTACTGGTCACCACCGCTGGCACACCTCTCAGCCAACTGGCTGCTCCAGCCATCGCCCCGCCATCCGTGCCAGCGGCAGCGGCCCTGCCTTCTACCACTGGTGGAACACCCTCAGGGAAGCCCTCTGATGCCCCCACCGCCCCCGAGTCTGCCGCAGACTCCGGGGTGGAAGAGGTGGACACCAGAAGTTCAAGTGACCATCACCTGGAGACCACAAGCACCATCTCCACCGTCTCCAGCATGTCCACGCTGTCCTCCGAGAGCGGGGAGCCCACCGACACCTACACCTCCTTCGCGGATGGGCACACTTTTGTACTCGAGAAGCCGCCAGTGCCTCCAAAGCCGAAACTCAAGTCCCAGACCAGCAAGGGGCCGGTAACCTTCAGGGACCCACTTTTGAAGCAGTCCTCGGACAGCGAGCTCATCTCCCAGCAACACACGGCCATCCTGGCGTCCGCCAGCGTCGGCCGGCCACGCTACCTCTTCCAGCGAAGGTCCAAGCTGTGGGGGGACCCCCTGGACAGCAGGCCCCTCCACGGGCCGGAAGACGACAAGCCAACTGTGATCAGCGAGCTGAGCTCCCGCCTGCAGCAGCTCAACAAGGACACCCGCTCCCTGGGGGAGGAGCCCGCCGGGGGCGTCATCGACCCTGGAAAGAAGACCCCCATGGTGGCAGCACGGTAAGAGCCCCTCCCCACGCCCAGGCGGACCCAGGGGGGGCTTCAGGTGGCCTCCCCTTCCCCAGCGCCCCCCTCCTCCTACCTGGGCCCTGATTCAGCAAGGGGGAGGGGGCCAGAATGGCCGCTTAGGATTTGTCCCCATGTAGGTTCGGGGGAGGGGGGGAATTTGGAAAGAATGCTGAGCCCCCTCCCACTCGTCCATTTCCTCTTTCTCCTACACACACACACACACACACACACCAGCTTTGCGGTTCCAGGTTTGATTTTGAGTTCTGGTCTTTGTGCCCAAGACCTCTACAACAGGCAGAGGCTTCATCCTTTCACACACACACACACACACACACACNGGGGGAAGGGGGCCGGGGCTGCGGCCTGAGCAGGTGGGACTCGGCGTGTCTCCTTTCTCTTCCAGTCCCTCTTCGAGCGCCAGGGGATGGCGACCCACACAGGGCCCGAGAAGCCCCACCTCTCCCTCCGCAAAGGCCTCCCGCGGACCAAGTCTGTAGGTAGGTGGGATCTCCTCTGGCTCGCCCAGGCCAGCTCCGGCAGCAAAGCCTCCGGTCAGCCGCCCAGGGAGCCAGGAAGGCGGCTGCGATGGGGGCCCCACGGCCTTTCAAGGGGGAGGGGGCTTGGGGGCCTCTGGGAGAAATCCTGAGGAGGACGATCCGCGAGGGGCCCAATCCGGAGGCTCCTGCCCTAGAGGAAGCCACGGGAGGCCTCGGAGAGGCTGGCCTGGGTGGCCGGAGGGGTCCCTGAGCTGCCCACCCCTAGAAGAGCCAGCTGCTCCCGAAGCTGCAGAGGAAGCCAAGGAAGGACTCCTCCTCGTGGCAGACGTCCCCTTGGCACGGCTGTCTGGCGGTGGCCCCTGGAGGGAGCTGGCTCTTGGGGAGCCTCTTGGGGAAGCCGTGCCTGGGGGTGGCACACAGGTGAGCCGCTGGCCCCCGGGAGATCAGCCCGAGTTGCAGGCACTGGTGTGGACCGGTCAGTTTCCCTGATTGGGAACTCGTGTTTTCTGATCGACAGTCGAGGCCGTTGCCGCCTGATCCTCCCCGTCTCCTCTGGCTCTTCTTAAAACAAAGCCGTCCCTAAACGTCTGAAGGAGCCTGTGACTCTGAGCCAGATCCCAGGGATCCCTTCCAAGCGGGCAGGTGATCCCAGGGACACGGCTTGCGTGTCGGCTCTTCACGGAGCTGATTGGAGAGGAGGCCTCCGCTGACGCAAAGGGATCGGCTGCACCCGCCCGCCCATCCTTCGCCTAGCGGGGCCTTGGCAGAACGAATTGTGGGGTGGGGGGATACCAGAGTTTCAAGGAGTGCGAGGGGGAAAATCCTGCTGGAGCTGAAAATAATTCAGGGTCTCAGAAGGGGGAGAAGGGGCAGGGGGAGAATTCCCGCTGGACACAGAGCAGGAGAGGGAGCTGGAGAGGGGCAGGCAGAGCCGTGGGGAGCCCGTGGGGCTTCTGGTGACACCTCCAGGGGCTGCTGCTGCTCTGCCATCTGCCAGCCCTCAGCGTGATGTTGCAGGGCGTCTCCCCTCCAGGAGGGATGCCAGTCAGCCTCCCTGCTTGTGGGGAAATATTCTGGGCACAGCAATAGCTGGCAGACGGCAGCAGCCCGGAAGCTCCCAAGCAGGGGGGTGGAAACTCGTCGGGGCAACGCAGCCATGCATTGACCCTCCATGGGATGCTAAGGGAAGACCGTTTGGGGAGGAGGAGGAGGAGGGGACAGACAAGGGGGTCTTCATTGTCCAGCAGAGGAAGGCAGAGCTGGGGGCGTTGCCCTTTGAATCTTGGGCCCAAGGATTGTGCTGGCCGTATCGCTGGGCTCTGCAGGTTTTGAGGGGTCTGGACTTCAACTCCCAGAACTCCTCAGCCAGCACAGCTGGCGAATTCCAGGAATTGAAGGCCACAAGTGTTAACAGTTGCCAGGTTTGGAGAGCCCTGGTATAAAAGGACTGCGTTGCCTGTGGCCAGTCGTCTCCTCTGCCCCATAGGGGCCCTGTCTGGCGGTGGCCATCAGTAGGACAGGCTGCCCCATGGATTCACCCACCTGTTACTGCTCTGCTTCCTCCCTCCGGAGCCTTCCCAGCATCCTCCCCCAGGAGCCTCTCCTTCTCCGTCTCTCCCCTTTTTCCTCTGCCCGGCTTTCCTTGTGACCTTCTGGTAGCGCAGGTGGGGGCCAGAGTGGAATGGCTAGGCCTAGTAGCCCCAACTCCCAGATCCTTCAGGGGGTGGAACCGGACCCTCCCCTGCAGCCCCCTCCCCATCACCCCCCTTCCATGGCTGCAGACACAGGCGCCTCCTTTCGATGGACACACCGGGGGCTTCACCACAGAGTTTCCGACGTACAACCACTTGTTTAGTGACTACAACGGCATTGAAAAAAGCGATTTATGACCGTTTTTCACACTTACGACCATTGCAGCATCCCCATGATCACATGATCAAAGTTGGACGCTTGCAAATGACTCCTATTTATGACGGTCGCAGTGTCCGGGGGCCACGAGGTCCCTGCTTGCTACCATCCGGCAAGCAAAGTCCGTGGGGAAGTCGGATTCACTTAAGGGCCATGGGACTTAACTGCAGTGATTCACTTAACAACTGTGGCAAAGGTTGTAAAGCTGCCACTGGGGTCCCCAAGCGATGCCTCGGCTGCAGCCTTTGTAGTCTTCCTTCCTGGCCAGTCGAAAGGAGAGAAGCACCGTTTTTCCTCCCAAAAACAGGGCTGCAACTTTTCCTCTTTTGCTGTTTTTTAGGCGAAGATGAAAAATTTGCGGCTTCCCTCCTGGACGGAAAGTTTCCCCGGAGCACGTCAATGCAGGACACTGTCCGGGAGGGCCACGGCATCCCTCCC